AGTAATAAGACCCATCGCATCAGTCTAGCTTTGGAGTCTTTCTTTGTCATCAAATACCTAAGAGCTGCATGATCGGTGTGCACTATGACTTTCGCTCCCATAAGATATGGCCGAAATTTTTCCATTGCGAACACAATAGCCAACAATTCTTTCTCAGTCACCGTGTAGTTCCTTTGAGCTTCATTCATTGTCTTGATCGCATAGTACGCCGGATGAAATATTTTGTTCACTCTTTGACCCAAAACTGCCCCAACCGCAACATCACTCGCGTCGCACATGAGCTCGAAAGGCAAGCTCCAATTGGGTGCGGTAATGATCGGGGTGGTGGTCAACTTATGCTTGAGAAGTTCAAAGGCTTCCATACATCTCTCATCAAACACAAACTTTGTATCCTTTTCTAGCAACTTGCAAAGAGGATTCACTACCTTCGAAAAGTCCTTGATAAATCGCCGGTAGAACCCCGCATGCCCAAGAAAACTCCTCACCCCCTTGACAGAAGTGGGGGAGGAAGCCTTGAAATCACCTCTATCTTGGCTTTGTCAACTTCAATCCCATGCTTTGAAATTTTATGGCCCAACACTATGCCCTCCTCAACCATGAAGTGGCATTTTTCCCAATTTAGCACAAGATTGGTGTCTTCACACCGGGCCAACACTCTATCCAAATTTCCCAAACACTCTTCAAATGAATCACCAACCACACTAAAGTCGTCCATAAACACCTCTAATATATCTTCCACCATATCGGTGAAAATGGCCATCATACACCGTTGGAATGTTGCCGGTGCATTGCACAACCCAAAGGGCATCCGAGAGAAAGCAAAGGTGCCATATGGACAAGTAAAGGTTGTCTTCTCCTGATCCTCCGGAGCTATCAAAATTTGATTGTACCCTGAATAACCATCCAAGAAACAATAGAAGGCACGCCCAGCAAGGCGATCTAGCATCTGGTCCAGGAAAGGCAATGGGAAGTGATCCTTGCGGGTCACTTTGTTCAGCTTGCGGTAGTCCATGCACACCCTCCATCCGGTCACTGTCCGGGTTGGAATAAGTTCATTATTAGCATTGGTCACCACGGTCATACCACCCTTCTTCGGCACACATTGCACCGGAGAAGTCCATGAGCTGTCAGAGATAGGATACACCACGCCTGCATCTAGCCATTTGATCACCTCTTTTTTCACCACTTCTTGCATTGCCTCATTGAGCCTCCTTTGATGTTCCAAGGAGGGTTTTGCATCATCCTCCAAAATAATCTTGTGCATACAGAATGCGGGGCTTATTCCCCGAATGTCAGCTAGAGTCCATCCAATTGCCTTTTTCCGCTTTTTGAGCACCGCCAATATGGCGTCAACCTGCATGTTAGTAAGACAAGAGGAAAGAATAACTGGTAAAGTTGAATTAGAGCCCAAGAATTCATACCTGAGGTGTGGAGGTAATGGCTTCAACTCCAACAGCGGAGGTTCCTCAATTGAAGGCTTTGTTGGAGGCGTCTTTCTATTTTTAAGATGCAAAGAAAGTTTCCTAGGCTCATAATAATAAGAGCCCATTCCATGTAAAGCATTCACGCACTCCACTCAGCCCGCATCATCATTGACATCCAAATTCAACAATACGGCCTCCAAAGGGTCCTCAATTATCAATTATCACAGTCGTGACTAAATCCACAAATGAGCACACTTAGGTACAATTGGGCTGCTTCATTGACTTGCACACATGAAAGACTACCTTTTCATCACCCACCGTGAAAGTGAGCTCCCCTACTTCCGCATCCACTAGAGCCTTCCCCGTAGCAAGGAAAGGTCTCCTTAATATGGTTGGGACCTCATAATCTACCTCACAATCCAAGATGACAAAATCAGCTGGCAAGATAAATTTGTCCACCTAGACGAGCACATCATCAACAATACCCAATGGTCGCTTCATAAATCGGTCTACCATTTGCAATCGCATGGAAGTTGGCCTCGGAGACCCAATACCCAAAGTCTTGAAAACTGAGAAGGGCATTAAGTTGATGCTCTCCCCAAGATCCCATAAAGCTTTGGCAAATTTTGCACTACCAATAGTGCAGGGGATAGTGAAAGCGCCGGGATCCTCCAATTTTGGGGCCATTGAATGCACTATAGCACTAACTTGGTGGGTCATCTTGATAGTCTCGCAGTCCATGGATCTTTTCTTGTAACCAAATCTTTCATGAATTTAGCATAACCAGGAATTGCTCCAAAGCCTCCGCCAAAGGCACATTGATAGATAGGCTCTTCATTATGTCAATGAACTTTTTAAACTGATTCTCATTCTTTTGCTTGGCTAGCCTTTGAGGATAAGGTAGAGGTGGCCTTGGCAAAGGAGCCTTGGCTTCTGGCACGACCGGCTCTGGCATGTCAATACGTGTTCCCTAGACGGGTTCACGATATCTTGAGTTTCCACCTCGGCCTCCTTAATGTCAATCCTCACTTCATTGTTCACATTGTCATCAACCACATCTTCAACTACCACTGGAACTTCATCTTTTTGCAACTCAACATCATCATCCACAACTTGCTTTTGCTTAGAGGCATTCACATCACCGCCTCTCCCACTTCTTGTTGTAACCTCCATAACATGGTTGTTCCCACCCTTTGGGTTCGCTACCGTATCACTTGGTAGAGCACCCTTCGGGCGAGTATTCAATGATTGAGAGATTTGGCCTATTTGCACCTCCAAGTTTCTGATAGAGGTATTGTGGGAAGCCAACTGTGCATCCGAATCCGCATTCTTCTTCATCATCTATTCGAACATCATTTAAATTCTCCCTATATCATTGTTGGAAGAACTAGAACCTTGAGAAGGGAAAGGGGTGGATTGTTCGGTTGTTGG